CTGGGCAAGTTTTGAGAAGGGTGGACGGCCCGTCCCACGCCGGCTGGGGAATTCTGGGAGTGGACGCCACACACCTCCAAACTGGCCAAGATTGAGACACGTAGATCTAGCTGACCACCATGGTTCCCTGCTCCCTCCCTGCCCCTCCTCCCCCCAAAAGGGCTTTGTGGTCATTTCCAATCAGGGGTCTTTCATTTTAGCTCCCCCACCAAGAGCCCCAAGAGCCGCCCAGGCTCCCCTCAGCCCAAACACGGAGGAAGAGACCCTCTCCCAATTCCAGCTCATTTGCATTCCTCGATGCTGGCCAACCGGCTCCTGGACGATTCTCCACCCAAAGGAGGCTCCGCAAATATTGAAAGGAAATAAATAAGAAACTTATCAGCTTCTACAGCCTGGGCTAATTTCTTATCTCCTAACAAACAAGCAGGAATTATGAATACCGTAAGTGCCCTGTTGTGTCATTATTGTGTTTGCACTACAATTTATGGATTTTCTCCCCCTTTTTCGGAGACCTTGAAGCAACCGTTTTGTTCTTGCTGGAGCTGAAAGGAGGAGCCGTCAGCGGGAGGCCTGGGTGGAGAGAGCCAGGCGCGCAGACACGACCAGGGCTCTCGTCCCTTTAGTGCAAGAAAAGGGAGCCAGCTTTGCACGGGCACGGGGGTTTCGGATGCGAGAGGAAGGGGAAGAATAGGGGCACAGAGGGCAGAGTGTTCAAATGAAAGAGCCAAGGCAAATAATTGGGAGGGGGGTGTCACCCAGCCCGCAGCCTCCCCAGGCCAGAAAAGGGCCTCCTGCCCTCCAGGGCAACCCCAGATGCCCGTGAAGTCTGTTCCCAGCGGATCAAACTGGGGGCCATGAAAAGACGTGGCCCCTTTGGAGCCTGTGGCCCTGACCACGGCCGGTGCTTGGCCTCTCCGGCTGCCCCAAACAGCTCTTGACCCAGCCAAGACCTTGGGCGTCAATTAAGGGTGGAGACGGGGCTCCCCAGGCCCCGGGAGGCAAGGGGTCCAAAGAGCGGAAGAGAAACGGAAGGGCAACTTTCTGTTCCTTTGGGGGAGGGGGGTCGTCCTGGCACAAGCACCCAACTCAGCCTCTTCTTTTCTTTCAGCTGCTAGGATGGGTGCCCCGCTAAGGGCACCTGGCCATGGCTGAGAAGAAGGCTCTGCGGATGATTAGAAAGGTCTGCCATTCCTTTTGCAGGTGAGAATCAGGCTGGCCCAAGCAGGGATGCCTCCTGAGCATGTGCAGAAGGGTTTCCTCTCTCTGCTAAGCCAAGATGCCCTTGAGAACCACTTCGGAAGGGCCCCCCATTTGCTCTGAAGGCCCTGGGAGGCTTCCCTCCCTTCCTCGGTCCTGCAGCTCATCCTTCCTTCCATACTGCCTTATATGATGTCACAGCAGGCCAGCCAATCAGCATTCATCGTTTATCTTTGCCTTGCACTTCCCAAATCTTAGTATTTACTGCCCCCCCCCAAAGAGTTTAGAACCAGTCTGCCCTGGGACAGGGAGGCTGACTTCTCTGACTGCCTCCAAGCAGAATACAGGTGGGAACAGGGGTCCAAGGGGGAGGTCGGGAGGGAAAGGTCACAGGAAAGCAACTCGGTGATTCGGAGCCCTGCCTAAACTCACCAGAAGGAAGGGGGTCATTTAGCCCGCCTCCCCTGGCCACCGGGTCAGAAAACGAGGCCTCTCAAAGGCAGGGGGTGGCTGGCTGCCTGCCTGCACAAAGGCCCCCTTTCCTCCCGCGATGATGACAGGCAGAGAAACACCAAACGATTGAAATGAACCACCGGCGGAACAATCGGTGTGGTGGGGAAAATGGTGTTGAGGTGGGGAGGAAGAGAGCAGGCACACAGAGTCTCCTTCCTTCCTTCCTTCCTTCCTTCCTTCCTTCCTTCCTTCCTTCCTTCCTTCCTTCCTTCCTTCCTTTCTTTCTTTCTTTCTTTCTTTCTTTCTTTCTTTCTTTCTTTCTTTCTGTTTATAGCAATTGAATGAAAATGTACAACACGGATCGGCAACAGCTGACAAATGAGATCAAACAGACATGATTTCAAGTTGGCTTCATCCCGAGTTCTGATTGGCATTAATTGTGAGCACTTGCAAAGCAGGGAGCCGAGAGAGGCTGACATTCGCTCCGAGCGAACATTTCCCTTCTAATAGTTTTAATGATTACAATGGGAGCCCGTGATCAGCTCTGCGCATTAATAACTCCAGAACAGCTGGGGAGGCGGGGGGGGGGAGGGGAGCTGCAGGGGAGGGCCCGCCCTTCTGCCTGTGCAACACACATCCACTCGTGTGTGTGTGTGTGTGTGTGTGTGTGTGTGTGTGCGTGTGCGTGTGTGTGCACCACTGAAACCCCTCCCTCCCGCAGAGGAAGCCTCCCAGCTCAGAACCCAAAAGGGGGCGGCCAGGTCCAGCAACGGTCCAGCTGGCCACCCTGAGGCTGCCTAGAGCTTCCCCAGGCCTGGCTGGGCAATCTCGGTGCCCCCTTCGAACGCAGAGCATGTGCAGAGGGCAGGAGGACTCTTCCCCTTCGGAATGAAAACTCAAAGTTTGGGAAGCTTTTTCTCTTTAAGCGCCCCCCCCACTGCACCCCCAAATTAGACCCGAGGCAACCAAGGGAGCCCCGTCGGCCCCCCTGCCAGCAGCAGAGACGCCTCGGAAGGCCTTCTGGGCGTGGAAACCCCTGCCAGGCGCTCCCCGTTTCCCACAGCAGCCGATGGGGAGAGGCCGACTCCAGCAGGGCATCCAAGCGCTTCCACGCCAGCGAATGCTCTGATTAGACGGGGTCCCCTTGGCTGCTCTCCTTTTCCAGGCACAGGCAGAGCCTCAGCCCTGGCTCTCTGTTGGCCAGCCCACCCTTCCGGAAAGCCCACTCCCGTCTCCCAAACGGGCTGGACTACAACACCCATACCCCTCAGCCACAGGCTTTTCACCACCAGAAAGAGGCTGAAGAACAGCCTGAGAGTCCATCCGCAAGTGCCTTTACGCTACAACCTCTGGTCTCTTCTTACAAAGAGGAAATTGTCCACCCCCCCTTCAAGCTCAGGTCTTCAAGCCTGATTAGTGATGGGCCGC